GGGGGCCCGGACCCGGAGGCCGCGCTCTGGTGCAAGCGGAGACAGTGGCTACTTCTGCCCTTCCCCAGCCGTCACTACAGTGAGGTGGGTGAATATTCACGGCAGCTGCTGGAGTCTCCCGGACCCCCCAGCCTGCCGGGGAGCACACGGTGTCCCTGTGCCCAAGCCCGCCCTGGGATTCTGGGGCCAGGCCGGGCCCTGGGGATCCACCCTGGGGAGGAACAGTGTGACCTCCCCGATCCACGATGCTGTGCCGGGAGCACGTTTATCCCCTCAGCACAGAGCTGTCCCCGGGTGTCTCATCACCGCCATGTCTCCGACGGCACCTATGGTCCAGGGTTGGCAGACACATCCCCTGAGTCTGCTGCGATGTGCAAAACCCAGAGAACCCAAACAGGGTCGTGGGGAGGTGACTCAGCAGACCGTGCGCCGTCAGAGAGGTTGGGTCCATGAGATGGGGCCAACCCTAGAGAATAGCACCCCACACTCTCTGAAACACCCACGCCCGTGTCCCTGGGGGCTGAGTCTCCCCTAGCCACAGAGCTCCCCAAAAGCAGCTGGGCTGACTGATTTGCATACCGGCAGCTGTCTGCACAGGGGATAAGACAGGCCCGGGGGACACTGCCCGCCTCAGCCTGAGCAGCTCAGAACCGAACATGGCCTGGACCCGTCTCCTCCTGGGCCTCCTGGCTCTCTGCGCAGGTGCTGGCCGGGTCTCTGCCCCCGCTCAGGGTTCTTAGGCAGCTGGCTGACTCTGAGCTCGGCGGGCAGCATCTCAGGGGGTTATCAGGACTGTGCAGAGGATGGGGGTGGTGGGGCAGGGACCCCACTGTGCTCATCAATCTGCGTGAGACATGGGGCTGTGCTGTCAGAGAAAGTCAGGGACCAGCTCGCTCAAATGCCCCTGCCCCTGGCCAGGCCAGGACTCGCTGAGGCTGAGCACGACGAGAGTTTGCTGCGCTCAGGGGCCCTGGGCCAAGATGGCCGCGCTGGAAGGCTCCTCTGGGCCAGGCCTTCATGTCCAGTCAGCCTCTGCTTTCCCTCTGCAGGTCCCGTGGTCTCCTATGAGGTGACCCAGCCAGCGTCCATGTCGGCGGACCCTGGTGCCACAGTCAAACTCACCTGCCAGGGAAACAACATTGGGAGTTATTATACTTCCTGGCACCAGCAGCATCCGGGCCAGGCCCCTGTCACGCTCATTTACGGCAGTAGCAATCGGCCCTCAGGGATCCCTGCTCGGTTCTCTGGCGCCAACTCAGGGAACACGGCCACGCTGACCATCAGCGGGGTCCAGGCTGACGACGAGGCCGACTATTACTGTGCTGCATCCAGTAGCAGTATTGGTGCCCACGGTGACGCGGGACCATGGGGAAGTGAGACACAAACCTGCCCGTCTGGCCTCGCCCCGGCCAGGAGGGGCAGACGGCGCCGAGCACAAGTCTGAGCCAGCCCAGATCGGGCCCAGCTGCCCCCTGGACCCGGGTCAGCGCCTGCAGACGGGGCCAGCGGATATGGGGTGACGGCTGCAGGCCCGGGCTGCCCTGGCACCCCGAGACCCTCCTGTGCAGAGCCGGGACCGTGGGAAGGGAGCGGCCGGCAGCCCCAGCCCC